CCCATATTGTGAATTTATCTCTGCTCCTTGGAGCAGTGCTCTCTTGGGGAATTATGTGGCCCCTAATAGGTGGACTTAAGGGAGAATGGTTCCCTGCAACTTTGCCTCAAAGCAGCATGAAGAGTCTAACTGGTTACAAGGTCTGTAAACAAGTTTGATAGCAATTTTACCTGACAGAGGTGAGCTCCTTTCTTATTTCTTGTCAAAGGTTCCTAGTTTCTTATCTTCTTCAGTGGACTCTGTAGGTTTTCATTTCTATTGCTCTAATCCTGGGAGATGGACTCTACAATTTTCTCAAGATATTTTATTCAACTGCCAGAAACATCCATTCCAGAAGGAAAAGTAACCACCTCAAAACATGTAAATAAACAACCACATCCTATTTCAATAGAGTTCTTCGAGAATAGAAGACTTCAATAACTTTGTTTTTGAAATCTTGCAGATCCTGATGACCAGAACAAGGCTATTGATGATCTAAAACGAAATGAAGTGTTTGTAAGAGAGAGCATTCCTTTGTGGGTGGCGTGTGTTGGGTACATCATCTTCTCCATCATCTCCATCATTGTGATACCCTTGATGTTCCCTCAGCTAAAGTGGTACTATGTGGTTGTTGCTTACATTTTTGCACCCTCACTAAGTTTCTGCAATGCATATGGTGCTGGTTTGACCGACATGAACATGGCCTATAATTATGGAAAAGTAGCCCTCTTTGTGCTAGCTGCCATGAGTGGGAAAGAAAACGGTGTGGTTGCAGGACTAGTTGGCTGTGGTCTGATTAAGTCTATTGTTTCCATCTCTTCAGATTTGATGCATGATTTCAAAACTGGTCATCTAACCCTCACTTCCCCTAGATCAATGCTTCTCAGCCAGGCCATTGGAACAGTCATGGGTTGTATTGTAGCTCCTCTTACATTCTTTCTCTTTTATAAGGTATTTGATGTTGGTAACCCAGATGGTGAATATAAAGCCCCTTACGCCATCGTTTACAGAAACATGGCTATTTTAGGCGTGGAAGGCTTCTCTGCTCTGCCCCAACATTGCTTGCAGCTCTGCTATGGATTTTTCGCCTTTGCCATAGCAGCTAACTTGGCAAGAGACCTTTCTCCTAAGCATGTAAGGAACTGGATTCCTCTTCCAATGGCCATCGCTGTGCCTTTCCTGGTGGGCGCATATTTTGCAATCGACATGTGTCTGGGGAGCTTAGTTGTGTTTGCTTGGCACAAGCTAGACAAGAAGAAGGCAGGTTTGATGGTTCCTGCAATGGCTTCTGGCCTGATATGTGGAGATGGGTTGTGGCTTCTCCCTTCTTCCCTTCTAGCTCTGTTCAAGGTTCGTCCTCCAATCTGCATGAGCTTCTTTCCTAGCAAAGGTTAGCCGCAGTTAGAATAGAAGAACATACATGTGGGTTCAGTTTGAAGTGGTGCTTCAGACAAGAATAAGGTTGATACCAGATGATAAAGGAAGCTGCCATTGGACATGATTTTAGATGATAAAATAGAACTTACTAGCAGTATAGGCCAATGTATTGAAGCTTCCCATATGAGATTAATACTTTGTAAGAGAAATTTAGCCAAAAGCTGATTGTAATTGTAGAGTGATGGTTATGAGATTTAGAATGAGTTCCCTTTCATATAATGTAGCAAAAAATTACTTTTTATTATGTAACTATTGTAAAAATTATGAAATTTTTCTAAAATGCAGAATATATTGAATTTGCACCAAAGTTCATGGAACAAAACTAGTATTTTAGCAATAGTGGTATGTGATTTGCCTTTTTCTCAAGCAGCATCTCCCTAGATTTCACAATCAATTAATATCAATGAAGTCCCTGCTTCTGTAGTTCATACAGATTGCACATCTTACATCTACGGATTTGTAAAATAAGAAATGAAGAGCAGTACCCGTGCAAAACTAAGAAGCAGCCAAAAACCAACCACTTAATCGGAAATAACAAGGTCAACAAGAAACTGACAAAAAAAAAAAAAAAAGGCCATAAAAACAAATTCTTGGTAGCATCGAAGTAGAGACTGCAAGCTGCACTTGGAGCCGCCTCCGCCCCAGGGTTTAGACTAGTACTAGTAAATAAATGAGAAATAAAAAAAAAATGAAATAAATGTTTATTTGTTAGTTGGACTGGCAAAAAAAAAAAAAAAAACTATGACGTTTTAGAAAATGTTAGGTATAATGGTTTGAACTTAATAATTGTTTTTATATAATGAATAAAATTATATGAATTAATTATTATTATTATTATTAATTATTAAATTAAATAAAATTATTAATTATTAATTTTAAATTGTTATACTGAATAATCTTAATGAGGTATTGTTAAAAAAGATTTTTAAAAAAGTCTCAGTTTTATTTTGAAAATAAGTTTTGTTAATTTTTTTCAATGAAAATTTATTAAAATAATATAGTTTTAAAATTTTTTATCTATTTTTATTTAATTTTAATAGATTTAATTTTTAATTTAAAATATTTAAATTTAATTATTTATTCATTTGATCATTCAATACGTCTATTTTTATTTATTTTTATTTTTTAAAAAATAATTATAATTAATAGATTTAATTCATAATTTATTACGGTTAAATTTAATTATTTTTTTTAAAAAATATTATTTAATATGTTTATTTTTATTTTATTTTTAAATAAATTTATTTGCTTTACCATAAACAATGATTGCATTAAGAGTTTTATGAGAAATTTATAATCCAGAAAGCATTTTTATATCCCGTTTGCACTTTCAAAAACATTTTTGGTAAACAAATCTACTTTCTGAAGTTATCGACTTTTCAATATTTCCTCTTCTTGAGCTTTTTTTTTTTTTCTTTTCAAAAAATGATTCCCAAAGAATATTTATGGACAAAAATGCTCATAAAAGTCACATGTAATATCTAAATTTGCTAGTATTTAAAATATTAGGATTTAAAATTCTTAAAATTTAAAGTATATGTTAAGGATCAAAATTTAAATGTTAAAAGTTTAATAACTTAAAAATTAAAATCACAAAACTTAAAAATAAAAAATAAAAATTATTGTATTTGAAAAATCAAAATATCTGTAGGACCAATCGGCCTTGAGACCGATCGGTCCTGTGGCTAAAGCATCCCTCCTTGTAAATGACAAATGCCGATTTATAAAAATTATTTTATCTCATGTCATATATCATTTTTTTTTAAATTGTATTTAAGATAAAATTATTAAAACACAGAATCATGACTTTCAAGTCCAGCGACAGACCTCAAATCTTAAAGTATTCAGATTTGTTGGTTGGGTTTCAATTTCATGAATATTTTGAAAAAAATCTGTACTCTTCTAAATTATAGATTGTTCTGTTAAAAAAAAATATTAAAACACAATATAATTTTAAAATATGAATATATTCACAATATATTTAACTTAAGGGGAGGGAAGAAAGAGAAAAAAATTTTTTATTTAGTTATAAAAAAATCAAGAGGGATAAAAGGAGAAAAAGTATTTTATTTTATTTTATTTTATTTTTTCTTTTAACCTATTTGTTTATCTAAATAAGAAAAAGAAAGGAAGCGGAAATAAAAAAGAACAAAAAGATAAAATTCTTTTTTCTTCCCTTTCTCTCCCCTCTATTTCATTCTCCTCAATTTAAATACATAATTAATTTCATTTTCATAATAAAAATTATATTATTTACATTTATTTTGTGATTGTAACTAGATGTTATTAAAAGGATCCTTAATTTATTTCAAAAAGATTTTTTTTTTGTTACTTTAAATATATCTAAAGTTAATTATCATTCTTTAAAATTTTTAAGTAAATAATTATTTTTTTAGATTAATCTTTATTGTTATTGTTTTATTATAAAAAATATTTCTTTAGTCTTTCTATTTAATTTTAATAAGTTTAAATTTTTTATCCTTTCTTTAAAATTTTTAAGTAAATAATTATTTTTTTATATTAATCTTTATTGTTATTGTTTTATTATAA